TTCGATCATTTGCTCCAAAAATATGAATGCAGAAAGACACTAATGTTCAAAAGTTTGGGGTCATTGAGATCAAAAGTGGCGGTTAAGACAATTATAAATATTACAAAAGATTTCTATTTCAAAGAACAAAATATCAAGCAGCACAGCTGCTTTCAACATTGATAATAGTAAGAAATGTTTCTTGAGCAGTAAATCAGCATATTATAATGATTTCTGAAGGATCATGTGACACTGAAGACTGGAAATTTAGCTTTGCATCACAGAAATAAATATATTCAAATAGAAAACAGTTCTTTTAAATTGTAATCATTTTTGACTATTTCTGTTTTTGTTGTATTTTTGATCAAATAAATGCAGACTTTGTGAGCATAAGAAATTTCTTTCAAAAACATTAAAAAATCTTACCAACCTCAAACTTTTGTGCGCTGTTTGGACCTATTAATAAGTTCTATTTCACATTTCCAGTAAACAAGATGGCTTTCAGTTGAATGCAGACAGTTACAATGGCGCGGTTAGAGAAAATTACACCTGGTCGCAGGATTACACAGATGTGGAAGTTCGAGTGCATGTGCAGCCTAACATCGTTAAAGGCCGACAGGTGAGTGTAACCTGCTGCCATCTGATTTTATCAGTGTTAATGTCTTACAGTTTGGCAGAATCTTCATTTTGATTTTTTTTTTCTTGCTGTCTAGTCTTACCGCAAAGCTAATTTGATAACAGTCTGCTTTCCGTTCCGTCTTTGCGTGCAGGTGTCTGTGGATCTGCAGCCGGGGAGGGTCCGCATGGCCTTGAACGAGGGAGGATCGCAGAGAGTCCTGATGGAGGGCGAATTCACACACAAAATTAACACAGAAAATTCCTTGTGGAGTCTGGAGCCTGGCCGCTGCATTCTGGTACACATTATTTGTGTATGGTGCATCTGAAATGATGATAGTCTGATGTATCAGCCTATTATTAGCCATTTTGAGACTGTGTCCGCTTGATGGAGGTTTTATCTCCTCATTGTCAGTTTCAGAATTCACTAACAGTCTTGTCAGTTTATAAGTACTTGGTTTTCAGATGTCTGTGAATTTTAAATGCAATTTCAGCAAATTTGTATTACTGTTATTTTAGTATTATTTATATACTATTATAGTAAATTCATCATTTTTATTTAATATTATTTATTTCAAGTTTTCATTTTATTTCCAGTAAGTAATTTAAGCGAAACAAAAATTCGAAATGTTGCCTTGGCAACTAAAGGTGGGTGTACACGGTGCGATTCTGAAGGTCGGAACGTCGTGAGCTTTGGCACGACTGAGTTTATCCGAAAACGTACGGAGGCAGTCACACATGACACGAATTTACTACGATTTTACAAACTTTGACGTAAGCATTAGGCATATTCATTCATAAAGCTGAACGGCAAATTTGACACATTCGGAATAACAAATAAAAAACAGAACTGTATAATTAAACTAAAATTATTACAGACTATATGGTTTTTGTCATCTTCTGATTGGTCAACTTCAGATGGATCGCCAAATCGTCTCGTTCAACCGCACATACGCCACGAATTTAAAAAAAATCGCCTGCGAGCTCGTACGACAGCAAAAATCGCACCGTGTACGCCCGCCTTAACTGAAATAAGTTCGTTTTTCATCTAATATTTATATTTCATTTTATTTCAGCAAAAATGTTTTAGTAGTTTTAGTTACTGGGTTTCTGTGGGTCTTAAAAAGTCATAATTCGCCCTTACTGTATACACAGATTGAGGCCTTAAAGGAACACTCCACTATTTTTGAAAATAGGCTCATTTTCCAACTCCCCTAGAGTTAAACAGTTGAGTTTTACCGTTTTCGAATCCATTCGGCTGTAAAACTCAACTGTTTAACTCTAGGGGAGTTAGAAAATGAGCCTATTTTCAAAAATAGTGGAATGTTCCTTTTAAAAAGGTCTTAAGATTCATAAGGTCATGGCATTAAATGTTGCATGCACTGCAAAAAAAAAAAAATTAAGATCTTCCTCTGTATTTTTGTCTTGTTTTCCAGTACAAGTACAGTATGTAAACATCCTTAAATCAAGAAATATTTGCTTGAGTTACAAAATGAAGATATGAAGTCTTGTTTTCTGAGATATTAAACAAAATTAATTGAGTTTATTTTTAAAATAATAACAAATCTGTCACTGTGGTATAATTGTTTTCCTTGTGAATGTGTTTTTCTTACCCCTTTGGCAAATATTTGTTCTTTTTTAATCACAAACTCGCACAATTTCTCAGAAAACAAGACTTCTTATCTTATGTCATTTTGCAGCTTGAGTAAATGTATCTTGAATTATGAATCTTTAGACATTTGCACTGAAAAGCAAGACATCACATTTTTGCAGTAGGTACAGTAAAAGTTATTTCCATATTGTTTACCTGGTCTTAAAAAGGTCTTCAAATGTCTTAAATTTGCCTTCATAAAACCTGCAGAAACCCTCTAGTTAACAATAGCAACCCTGTTTTGTATGCATCTTATTTGCTGTCATTAAATTGTATTCTGTATACACTGTATTCTATCTCTAGATATTCTATGGAATTTTATTTGAATAATTTGAGGCAGTGTAAGATGGATACAGGTCTGATATATTTTGTTAGGAGCTGTAGACAGACAGTCATGATGGTCATTTGGACTTTTCCTCCAGCTGTCTCTCAGTAAAACCGGGGAGGTTTGGTGGAGCGCCGTGTTGAAGGGCGAGGCTGAGATCGATGTGAACCAGATCAACCGGGAACGCTCTATGGCAACTGTAGATGAAGAGGAGCATGCTGTACTGGACCGCCTGTCGTTTGATTACCACCAAAAACTCCAGGGGAAACCACAGAGCCATGAGATTGTGAGCAAGCAATGGAAATTATTTTCTATGTTGCTTCATTACTGCTCTGGAATAGTTAGAATAGTTCACCCAAAAATGAAAACTGCTAAAAATGTACTCACCCTTAGGCCGTCCGAGAAATGGATGAGTTTGTTTCTTCATCAGATCAGATTTGGAGAAATGCATCATTACATCACTCACTCACCAATGGATTCTCTGCAGTGAATGGGTGCCGTCAGAATGAGAGCTGATAAAAACATCACAATAATCCACAAGTAATCCACACCACTCCAGTCCATCTGTTAATGTCTTGTGAAGTGAAAAGTTGTGTGTTCGTAAGAAACAAGTCCATCATTTTATCTTAAAACCATTGCGTCTGGCTAAAATACTTGTCTTCTATGCATAATATTGATTTCTCCTGTGAAAAAGTTGACTCGTCTGAATCAGGAGAGAAATATGCACAGATCAAGCATAGTTTACAAACACAAACAGTCCTTAAAAAACATGTGGGTGGATTTTGATGTGAGAGGACAACAGGGGATGGACTTTTTCACTGGAGGAAGCATCATTATGGATTATGGATAGGATATTTTGTCCAGAAGCAACGGTTTAAGTTAATTAATGATGTCTTAATGATGGAATCCTTTCTTATAAACATGCAGTTTTTCACTTTACAAGATGTTAACTGATAGACTGGAGTGGTGTGGATTATTGTGATGTTTTTATCAGCTGTTTGGACTCTCATTCTGACGGCACCCATTCACTGAAGAGGATCCATTGGTGAGCAAGTGATGCAATGCTACATATCTCCAAATCTGTTCTGATGAAGAAACAAACTCCTCTACATCTTTGATGGCCTGAGGGTAAATACATTCTCAGCAAATTTTAATTTTTGAGTGAATTATGCCTTTTAAAGCTTTGGCACTTGTTTGCGTGAGAAACTATCGGGCTATTGTGTTGAAAAATGTTTTACTTTGTGTTTCAGAAAGTCCATGAGATGCTGAAGATGGGCTGGAATGCTGAAGGATCTCCGTTTAAAGGCCAAGAGTTTGACCCCTCCATGTTCAACATCCCACCCAGCGCTGTCCAGCTTTGAGGTCACATGACAGTGCCAGATGTAAAGTCAGCACTTACTGTATCACACACACACTGAAGTACAGTAATGGTGTCGGTTTCTTGCGGTTCTACCAAATGAACATCAACAGTGTCTGCACTGCACATCTCATGCCAATATAACTGATTCGCTGACACTGATTATTGTCTCATGTTTAGTTACTGTTTGGCATGCAAAATGGGCCGATGATCATTTATAATTTTTAGTGTTTTATGAAATGAGTTGATCTTACATTTGCCCAGTTACTGACTGTATTCAGGACGTATTGTTTGTTAGTTTTCATACTATTTCAGTGATCTACAATAGCAACAGTGAAATCCAAGTTTCATCAGATATGTGCCGTTTCTTTAAGCAGATTGCTGGAGTTCACACAGGAGGAAAAAGTCTTTTCACTTGTTTCCATCATTTGCATCAGATTTTTGTGCCTGAATCAAATAAAACCTTTTGCATATGTAATTTTTTTTTTCTTATTGATTGCTTTTTTTATATTGCTGTCACACTGTATTAGATAACGAAGTACTGGTACAAGCACACTTTTCAAGCTAACCATTTCATAAAAATAAGTTTTTTAAAATAATAAAACCCCCAAATTTTGGTCTCTTTAGTTCACCCCACTCATTTTCTATAGGGTTCAGCTCAGAGAACTGGGACGGTCATGGCAGAACTTTAATTTTGTGCTCCGTGACACATTTTTGTTGATTTTGATGTTTGTTTTGGATAATTGTGCTGTTGAAAGATCTAATCATGGCCCATTATAAGATTTCTAGCACAGGCAGTCAGGTTTTGATATATATATATATATATACATATATATAGATATACAGTGGGTACGGAAAGTATTCAGACCCCCTTAAATTTTTCACTCTTTGTTATATTGCAGTAGCAAATGGCTGCAATATAACAGAGTGAAAAATTGAAGGGGGTCTGAATACTTTCCGTACCCACTGTATATATAGATATATATATTAATCTGCTGGTATATGCTATATTGGTATTTGCTAGAATCTGTTATGCCATGTATCTGAGCAAGATGTTCAGGACCTTTGGCAGAAAAATAGGCCCACAAGATTAAAGATCCAGCAGTATATTTAACTGTGGGCATGGGGTACTTTTTTATCGCTGTGTGCACCAAACCTATCTCTTGTGTGCCAAAAAGCTCTTTTTTTAAACTTCACTTGACCATAAAACTCAGTCCCGTTTGAAGTCCCAGTAGTGTCTGGCAACTGAACATGCTGGAGTTTGTTTTCGGGTGAGAGCAGAGGATTTTTCTTGAAACACTCCCAAACAACTTGTGGTGATGTAGGCACTGTTTGATATTTTTTTAAGGCTTTCTGTCCCCAGGACTAAACTAATTTCTACAATTCTTTAGCTGTGAACCTCGGAGAGTCTTTGGCCACTCAAACTCTCCTCCTCACAGAATCGTAATATATCCTGTTGATTGAAAGATCTTAATTTTTGCCCTGATGGTAAAAAAGGGATTTTTTTTTTTAATGCTTTAGCAATTTTCTTACATCCACTTTCTATTTTGTGATGCTCAACAATCTTTTGCTGCATATCAGAACTATATTCTTTGGTTTTATACATTGTGATGGATGATCATGGAAATTTGGCCTTTGTGTTACCTCATATCTATACCTTTCTGTCAAACAGAAAGTCATGGCTGGACAATTTCATGTTTCTAGTCACCTTGGTGCACTAAAAAAATATGTAAGTATGAATGGGATATCCTTGAGATAATTTACTCATAAGATAGCTTAGATTTTTTAGTGATTTTTTTTTTAATGAAAGATCAAAAGGATAAACCATACAGATTTATTTTCACAGCCTTCTTTGCTCATATTTACTAAGGGTGCCAAGCATAGACTTTAGAATTATATTTTTGTGAATTTCTCTGAGACCACACATTCAGGGCTTTTTAGAGATATCAAATGTTTGGAGGTTTGATCATAAACACTCCCTCGGCTTGGTCTTTAAATATGACTGATATTGACAGAATGATCAAATTTAGCACTCAAAGGGAAATATGATAATGTTTTGTAATTATCATTTACATCTGGGTAATTTTCAAATTGTTTGTCATAAATAAACATCTCAGAAAAATGAAAAAAATCTGAAAAATTATGGTGTTTCAAATCGGAATATGACTTTTTGTTACGAAACGCGGCATCATTTTCATACATGTCTTCTGTAGAGGACACCAGGACAAACATCATGTTAATTAGAGATTTTGGGGAAACACAAGTCAATAGGGAAAGAAATTATAGATCAATATTCCTATGAAATATGAGATATTCTTATGATAATATTGCCAAGTTATTACTCCCATTATAACACTTCTTTTTTTCATGATGGTTTGCCCCAAGAACACATTAATATGCAAATTAGATGCAACGTATAGATACATTGAATAGAACGGGAATACCAATTTATTATACGCACATATTCCATAAAGTACAGTAGTATATCAAATCATTCTGTTATATCTTTGTACAAAGTTTGGTTAAAAATAACCTGAAACCCAAAAACTGATTGGTGAATGAAAACATAAAACATTGTTTTTACCTATACATGCCTTTTCATGTACATTTTTTTTTTTTTTTTTTTTAATAACTTAGTCCTGGCGTCCTCTACAAAGGACATAAAATATAATATGAATAAAAAATATATATTTTTTTTCAAAACTGTTTTCCATTTGTTCTCCGTTTGTTTCTTATGCTCCAATCAATGCAATGACATAAAAAACAACAAAATTCACAAAACTTTTTTTTTGTTCTCAGGAGGATATAGAATGACCTTTTAAGTGCGGTATATGGACATTATAAATAATATATATAAACGATACTGAACTGTATATAAATGGTCTAATGAACAGTGTTGGGGGTAATACATTACAAGTACCGCAAGTTACGTAATCAGATTACTTTTTTCAAGTAACTAGTAAAGTTGGTGTGAAACGGAAAGAAGATGTTGCAGGTGTAACGCCATAAACAGAAGCTCCGCTGCGCCCTCCAGCGGTGACTGACGCAGCGGAAAACAAGTGCACTGCAGCTGAACGGCGCATTCGGTGAGAGGTCGGTAAAGCAGTCGAGCCTGCTCGTCGGCGAACCTCTACTCTACCTCGCTCGAATCCGGACCCACGTTTAAGTTTTGTCCTCAAAAATCCCGCAAGTCGAAGACACAGCAGAATAATCGTAGTGCTGGACACAGCTCAGATATTGCCGCGAACGCTGAGGGCTGAGAAATGGCAACGACAACTTGCACGCGCTTCACCGACGAGTACCAGCTGTATGAAGAACTTGGAAAGTAAGATTTGCTTTCTCTGCTGGTGTTTGTGCGTAACCCAAGTGTCTTGTATCGATATCACACATTTCTTGAATGTAAATTCATATGCAAAAGCCCAGAGGAGTTGTCAGGAAGCATTAGAGGGAGTTGCGTTTAACTATACTAGTTATATACTAACTACTATTTAACTATATAGAGTGTATGATGATAAACAGCGATCTGGTGATCATTTTGAGAATGTTTGCTGCTTTTTGGCTTCAGAAATGCATTGAGCATCTGTGGGGAATCCTAAAGGCGTGTTGTCATGACTCATGCATGTTAAAGTGAATGTTTACATATTTACTATATGCACATGCATATGCTTTTTGGCACGTCTGAACTCTTTGCATCTCGCGCAGGATGCACAAAAGAGCTGTCAGGAAACATCAGAGGGAGTTGCATTCAAATACTCCCACTACTGTGTTCATTTTAACTGTCACGTGTGTGCTCATAAACATAAGCCGTCAGGGGTTAATTTTGAGGATATTGCATGTTTTGTGTCCCCTCCGGTGCATTTCATGCAGAAAGCTCAGAGGAGCTGTCAGGAAACATTAGAGGGGAGCGGCATTTAAATACACCCACCACTGTGCATATTAAAGTCAATATTTATGTGCATACAGTCTCTGATTATAAAAATGAGCATGCAGGTGTTAAATCTGAGGATGTTGCATGCTTTTTATATGCTGTCTGGAAAAATGTGAGCTGTTATAGTGAGTGTATTGAATCAAAGATAAAATATGAACACTCGGGTTAATTTAAAGGATATTGCATGTTGATCTAGAGATATTGCATATCTAGAATGCGCATGGGAGTTGCATTAATATGCATGGAAGTATTCAACATAATCATGAGGATATTTCATGGTGCATTTCATGCAGAAAGCTCAGAGGAGCTGTCAGGAAACATTAGAGCGACTTACAGTGAGTATATTTCATATGTCTGATCATAACGATCAGTTCTCAAGGGGTTACTTGGAGGTTATGTTCAGGGTGGTACATTTGAGAGTTTAACCAGACCAATAGGTCGCTACATTGTATCTCTACACTCTCGGAAAAAACGTAACAAAGCTGTTGCTGGGGTGGGATCCTAAGGTAAAAAATCTAAAAGGTACATTATTTACCCCTAAGTGCAACATATTAGTACCTTAAAATACACATTAGTACTTTAAAAGTACATATTGGTATCTAAAGTGCACATATTAGTACATTTTTGTACCTTTTTTCTCAGAGTCTATGTGAAGGGTTGATACAATGTATCAAGAGTTCTATAATGAACCAACGTTACAATGTATCATAAACTCTGGGCAGCTGTGAAGGGTCGGTACATTGTGTCGTTCTGTCCTGTGACATTTGGAGCTGCGAGAGCTTTCCCTGGCGGCTGTTTGCTGTCTGTAATTTGTGTGTGTGTGTGTGTGTGTGTGTGTGTGTGTGTGTGTGTGTGTGTGTGAGACATGCCTGCGGCCTGACGTTAGGAAATTATTTTACTCTCTCAGCTCCTCTTCTCCTCCAGTCAGTCAGTATTGCGTTTCTTTCACTGATAAAAAGGATTTTGTGGTGAAGTAAATACTACATAAAAACAAATGTAATTTCTACATTAAATAATTTAGTTCAGGCAAGAATTAAAAAAATACAGTAAGTTCTATATTACTACTCAAATTATGCTTGTGGAAATTAAAGTTTGAAATTATAAGCATATTTTACTTGGAATTGTTTGTTATGTTTACAAGGATTCTTTAAGTAAATATCAAAGTTATGATCCCGTATTTCCCATCATGCACTAGGGCATGAATAATTAAAAAGGTTAACATTTTCACTGTTTTCGAGTTGTATTTACACTGTTTTATGGTTGCTTTTGTCGTTCGGTTTAGTAACTTACTGTTTTGTGATATCTGGAGTTAATTTTCTACTCAAAATGACCCATTTGTACTCAAACACTATCCACTGATTGTTACTGTCATTGTGTATGGTGTACCAAGTATTGAGGTCTCTGTGTTCATTTGGGTAATAATTATATTTAGTGGGTTTATTATCTTCAAAGGATAACAAGCTGTCTACTTGCTTGCTTACATGTTTGCAAGTGAACCACATGCTTTAATAGCATGGTTGTTTTCCAGTGCTACATTGTACATTGAGTACATTTTATAAACTGTAACTGAGGGAAATGTACTTGAGTATAGCATATTTAACAAAATAATTAAGTAGAAATTACTCATCAAACTCTTAACTGGCCATGTTAAATTTACGTATTTCCTTTGCTAATTTTACCTAACTTAGTTAAGTAGATTTTACTTAATTCAATACTTAAATTTTTATTTATATATATGTGGTTCGGTGAACGTGTTTTCTGCTGCTGTGTGCCAGTTTACCCTAAGCACCACAACAGTGGTTCGGTCTTCCTGACAGGCCGACGGCAGTAAATCAGCTGAATGTCTCCGCTGAGACGCTCAGGCTGCTTCCAGCACTAATGAAACCACAGGTTTACTAACAGAGCACACGAGCTGCAGACAGACGGCTCTCTGGCCTCACTGACTCCAGGCCTCCACCCGGTCAAGGGTGACGAGTGGCCTTCTGCTTTATTAGTTGAGAAGTTTCCATTCTTCTTCTTGAACGTGTTGTTTCTTGTTTTTTACAGTGCACCTTTTTCTACTGAATTATTAAATGAGCCCCGTGTGTATCACCCACAATCATAAAAACACACAGTAGTAGTTGACGGACTTCTCTTAGAAGCTGTTTCATAACTTTTTAAACTTCTCGTTTTAATAAATACTCTCTGGGTTTCATTTTCAGTTCATCTCAACGTAGTGTATTATTCCCGCTCACTGAGGAGAAATAGACATTTATAACTTTTTAAACGTTTTTTGTGTCATTGTCATTTTTGTGACATTTCAGCAGATCTTCACCATACTGAACTGAATGATTGACCACATCCTCAATTTGTGGTGGAGACATGCATTTTAGCCTTTTCTTAACAGCAGTTTTTTTTTTTTTTGATAACTGTACACTTAATGCATACTGTAAGTAAATATATATTTATTTACGATGTTATATATATATATATATATATATATATATATATATATATATATATGTCTC